TAAAACTTGAAAAGTACACTAAATTTTATAAATGAAAATAAAGTATATTATACCTTTTGCTAGTCAGATATTATAACATAACCATCACCATCTCCTATTTGCAAATCATACTTAAGTTCTTCCAAAAACCACGATCAACTTTCTTCCTTTTCAACTTCCACTATATCCCATGCAGTCGAGTACATTTGGTCATTCACATAATGTTTTATCCATATCAGCACCTTTTTAAGTTGTACTCTCTATGTCATAAAAAAATATATAAAAAATGGCATGTGGACGGAGTTAACGGCCCAAACTGACAAAATGACCAACGTTGTCCATTTTTTTTAGAGTTGAGGGATAAAAAAAGTACAACAAAATAGTTAAAGGACAAAAAAAATGTAACTCTATAAAGTTAAGAGATCAAAATTAACATTTAACTAAAATTTAATCAGCTTAGCAAGTTGCCTAAACTTTTGTTGACAGAATGACAAAAATGGTCCATGTTACCAAGTTAAGATTTTATTTAGTTAAATAATAATATTAACATATTATGTATAACACTATTTTCATAAAAATAATTCAATTCTTGTATTGGTAAAATACTTGAACAACATAACCATGGCATTCATATCAATCCTAAATGCAATTAGAGATTGGAGTTTAAATTCCATTATTAGTAGTCTCTTGGAGATCTGTAATATACTAATATACTCTCTCCATCTCTAAATAATAAATATTTTTTTATTTTATCTTTAAATAAAGGATTTAGAAATAATTTTTGTTTTTTACCTCTTTTACTCTTAATAAAGAAATAAAAAATAAAGAAACTATAATGAATAATTATAGTTTAAAGATAATTATAAAGTTAAAATAAGAAAAAAAATATTTATCTCCTGTCAAATATGAAAAAATAACTAATATTTTAAGACAAATTTTAAACAAAAAAACATTTATTATTTCAAAAAGGATGGAGTATATATTAAATTTGTAATATATTGAACCTCCCAACATCTTTTGTATGGTTCATCTTTTATTTTTGAGATGCTGGCGATCAAAAGCTCCTACACTCGATTGGCGAAGTTTATTGTCGGTGTTTATATATAAATAATTAATAATTAAAAAGTTAAAACAAAAGCAGGTTTGCCCGAGAGGTTAAGGGGGAAGACTTAAGATCTTCTGCACATAAGTGCGCGTGGGTTCGAACCCCACAGCCTGCAAAATTTACATTTTTTTCCAATATTAATAAAGCATAGCAGATTAGGCAAGCTTTTCAACTTTTCATTTTATAAATTTTTAAATTTCAATAAATGATGAGTTTTATATTTTATCATATATCTCATATAATTAAAATTATTAAAAATTGAAATTAGAGATTTATGTCCAACTTCTGTCTGCTATATTAAAGCTGTTGTTTTTTGGAATTGTTGTTGTGCTATAACAATAATTTTCATTTTTATTATCATAAAAATATATAAATTATTAATTAAAAATATTAAATATTAAATATTAATTAAAATAATTAAAAATATTAAAAGTTAATTATAATAAATATATTTTTTTAGATATATATATATATTTTTTGAAAGGATATTGCATGGTGTGTACAACAATCCCAAATAAGCCCAACCCTTTCGAATTATAGAAGTTTAATGTCTAGACTTTTTGATTTAGGCGGGACCTAAGAGGCTATTATAGCAAAAGTCTTAAATTCTTAATTGAGTAAATCTTTTAATCATGAAATTATAGAGTAAATATAAACAAAACTACAAAATTGATGAAAACTTCAAAAATTACAAATTTAGTTTCACTGTTTACTTCATTAGAAAAAATAAAAATTAGACTGTCTTGTATTTTTTCTGTAAAATAATTCAAATACTTTTGATAATTTTTTTATTTATTAACTTGTTAAGAATATTTAAGTTTTTTATTTTTT